TCACTATTTGCGATCCCTCTCTTCTTCTGGATTATTCATGGCGTGTTCATGATGATCTATGTGGAAGTGATCACTTTCCAATAGTACTTGAACATCTTTTTACTTCTGCCCAACAGAGAGTACCACGTTTGAAACTTGACAAGGCGGATTGGTCCTTGTTTGAGAATCTCTGTCAAGCGGAACTTCAGTCAAAGATGTTTGAGACTGTACAAGATCCAATTTTAACTTTTAATACAGTTTTAACGTCAATTGCTGACAGAACTATTCCTAAGACCTCGGCAAATCCGAAACATCCCAGCAAACCATGGTTTGATGATGCTTGTGATCAAGCAATAGGTGACCGTAAAAAATCTGAAAGACGGTTCAACCAACAACCAACGACAGAAAACTTGAGTAATTTCCGTGTTTTTCGCGCTAAGGCACGGCGGACTTGCAGGCAAGCACGACGAACGTCTTGGAAGAAATTTGTCTCGGAGATAACATCTCGCACTCCGATGACAAAAGTATGGAACATGATACAAAAGATAAAAGGTAAAAATTCTAAAGCCACAGTTAAACATTTAAAAAATGTCAATGATTTATTAACATCTGAAAAGGATATTGCCAACAAGCTTGGTGAAACTTTTGCGAAATCTTCTTCTTCTAACAACTACAGGGAAGATTTTAAAAAAGTTAAAAAACAAAAAGAAAAAATTAAATTAAACTTTAAATCAAAAAATGGTGAAAATTATAATAAACTCTTTTCTCTTGAAGAACTTAAAACATCTCTATCAAAAGCCCATGATACAGCTTGTGGGCCTGATAATATTCACTACCAACTGTTAAAACACTTGCCAGATTCCTCGCTGGAAGCTCTTTTGCAGCTTATGAATAACATCTGGGAATCTGGTGATTTACCATCAATCTGGAAGCTTGCAACCGTCGTGCCTATTCCAAAACCAAGTAAAGATCACACGGATCCTATTAATTATCGGCCAATTGCTCTTACCAGTTGTGTCTGTAAAACACTAGAACGGATGGTTAATGATCGCCTTGTTTGGTTCCTGGAATCCAATGGGCTTTTAGCCAATATCCAGTGTGGATTCCGCCAAGGTCGCAGTACTCTTGACCATCTTGTTCGATTCGAATCATTTGTCCGTAATGGTTTTGCGAAAAATGAACATGTAGTGTCGGTCTTTTTCGATCTAGAAAAAGCCTATGATACTACATGGAAGTATGGTATTTTAAAAGATCTGTTTGATATGGGGTTGAAAGGCAATATGCCAAATTTTATTTCGAATTTTTTATCTAACAGACAATTTAATGTTAGAGTAAATTCAACCATGTCTGATCTGTATGATCAAGAGATGGGTGTCCCTCAGGGCAGTATTTTATCTGTTACATTATTTAGTCTTAAAATCAACAGCCTTGTTGAAGTTTTAAAAAGTAATATTGAAGGTTCATTGTATGTTGATGACTTTTTAATATGTTATAGAGGCAAAAATATGAATAACATAGAAAGACAATTACAGTTATGTCTTGGAAGAATTGAAAAATGGGCCTCGGAAAATGGGTTTAAATTTTCCATTTCAAAAACGGTCGGGATGCATTTTTGTAACAAAAGGAAATTGCATCTTGATCCAGAACTCACTTTGTACGGCAACCCAATTAAAATGGTTGATGAAACCAAATTTCTTGGGTTAATTTTCGATAAAAAGTTAACCTTTCTACCCCATATCAAAATGTTAAAATCGAAATGTTTAAAAGCATTAGATATTTTAAAAGTTGTCGGCAGCACCGACTGGGGTGCTGATCGCAACATTTTACTTAATTTATATAGATCTCTAGTTAGATCTAAACTAGATTATGGCTCTATAGTGTATGGCTCTGCAAGGAAGTCCTACATACAGATTCTCGATGCTGTGCATCATCAGGGTTTGCGTCTCTGTCTTGGCGCATTTAAAACCTCACCAGTTGAGAGTCTGTATGTAGAGGCTGATGAGCACTCACTCTCTAACAGACGTTTGAAGCTTGGACTTCAATATGCTGTCAAACTAAAAGCCTACTCAGATAATCCTGCCTACAGCTGTGTTTTTAATCCAATTTATGAAGATATTTTTGCAAAACATGAAAATAAAATTCCTCCGTTAGGTATACGTTTAAAACCACATTTAGCTTCTTTTGATTTAAAATATGTTGCTCAAGTTGAAACTTGCAAATGTCCTCCATGGGAACTTCCCAAACCAAAAATGATATTTGATCTCCGTGAACACAATAAAAATAAAACAAATCCTCTTTTAATTCAGCAACACTATGCTGAAATCAAAGCCAATTATTCAGATTTTTCAACTGTCTATACTGATGGATCAAAAGATGGTGACAGAGTTGCATCTGCTGCTGTCTTCAGGGACAGAGCTGCAACTCTCCGTTTGCCATCTGATGCATCGATCTTTACTGCTGAAGCAGAAGCAATAATTTTGGCTTTGAAATTTATTGCTTCTTCAGATAAATCCAAATTTATTATATGTTCTGATTCACTTTCATGCTTACAAGCTATACAAAATACTAAAATTAAAAACCCAACAATTCTCAAAATTTTATATGTAATGAGGAATTTAAAAATTCTTCTTAAAGAAATATTATTTCTATGGGTGCCGAGTCATGTTGGAATCCTTGGAAACACAGCTGTAGACCTTGAGGCAAAGAATGCCCTGGGTGACCCTTTATCTAACTGTGATATACCATATACCGATTTTAAATCTAATATTAGAGAATATGTTTTTAATATATTGAAAAATGAATGGAGTAAAAAAGATGGTAATAAATTACATGAAATTAAACCTAATTTATGTAAACCTTTCAATAATTTTATGTGCAGAAAAGATCAGTGTGTTATTTCTAGATGTCGTATTGGTCATATTAGAATAACACACGAATATCTTTTAAAAAATGAAGTAGAACCACAATGTATACCTTGTAACTGCAAGTATACTATTAAACATGTTTTAATCAATTGTATTGACTTTGCTGATATTCGAAAGAAGCATTTCAATGTCAATAATATGTATGATTTATTTAATAATATTCCATTTACAAATATTGTTTCATTCTTAAAAGAAATTGGAATATATTATAAAATATAAAAATGTTGTTATATTTAAAACGATTTTAATTTTTATCACGTTATCTTAGTGTTGATTTTTATTTGTAAATAATCAATTTGCTTTAGTCTAGAATTTTAGTTTATTGAAAGACCTTTTGTCTGATTTTAAAAATATACCTTAAATTGTTATAATATTCGAATTAGCTCTCGCCGCGATATAGCCTTTCTGTGCTAATGCGGCGTAAAGCAAACAACAATCAATCAATTTACATCTAATTTATTAAGTAGTGTCCACTATTTACTTGGGCATTTACCTGTAAACTTGTCGAACGGGTTGAGTAACAGTGATACCTGTATTTGATGAGCTGACTATTCACTCTCAGGTAACACCTTAACGAGTCAAGGTGTGGTCAGAAATGTTTGTATAAAGTTAGTTTACAATGTGGCGTGGACACACACACTGGATTTCTGAGGTAGGATTCAATTTATTCTTATTTATTTAATCATTATTCGTTCTAAAGTGTTCAGTTTTCTGCAACAACGCAAATATAGAATAATTATTTCAATGTAATTGTAATTTTTGACATTGCTATTTTATAAATGTAATAAGTTAATTAATGTTCATTATAATGAAAGTTTAACACGGTTATATGTTTCCGGCTGTAGTAAATATTCGAGTATCGAAATTGTTTGGTATTTTAGGAACGTTTGCGTACGATAATGCAATGATGTATGTATCTCCATAAGTATGTAAAGTAATATGCAACGTATAAGCATAAATGTATATTCAGCGTTAAAAGCTGTATATTGTGTGTAGTAATTGTATAATGATAGTATACAATAAAGTCAATTATGTGACTTGTAAAGTAAGGCATTGTACGATATGCCGTAGTTTGTATTGTGTAAAGTAAGGCATTATACGATATGCCGTAATTATTTGTGTATAAGTAATGCATTATTCAATATGCTATAATCTTTTATAGATTGAACATAAGTAGTCGTACTAAGTATTTGTCATTATTTATGCGACATGTGTAATACATAAACATATGTATATTTCTTAAGTATAGTATTGTATCTTAACGTACAGTATGTATTTCAATAGGTCCCAGTTTGCGGGCTAGGTGTATGTAGTTTTGTATTGTAAAGTATGGAGATATAGTACAGATGGTGGTGAAACCTGTTGACAGTGCGGCGTTCCGTGTTTATCATCAATAGTTTGGCAACATAGAATATTTGGAGTCGAGTCTAGACAATAGGGCAGCCGTAATGTGTACACCGCTTATGTTGGGCCAGTTTTGTGTAGTTACCGAAAACCAAATACGTAAAATTCCGTAGTATCGTTTATCCAGATTTCATAGTTTAATATAAAGAAGAAGGAACAGTTCATTAAACATTTGACAGTATTATTTCATTTGATTTCATCTATTTATATTTGTAAATTTGTACCTAATTAAATTGTTATTTTGTTTAAAGTAGTAGTCATTTATTATCTGTAAGTACAAACTCCTAAGTCAGCTCTCGTCTATCCGTGACAATTGGTGTCAGAAGTGGGATTTGTTTAAAAGGCTTAGAGAGTTTTCATTAAATTTAAATTTTCAATCTTATGTATTTTTGATTGTATTTTTTTTTCACCATGTATTTTTCCATTTGTATTGTTTTATTATATGTTTGAATTGTATAGCTTCAGGTGTTTGTGAGGAGAACTGAATATTTGGGACCCAGATTTCACAGTTGTGTCTATGTTGGTTCGTGCCTTGGAGGTTTGGTGTTGTTTCTGCTCTACATTGTAAACTGTGAGTATCGGTACTTACATATATTTAGTAATTGATTGTAGTACACTGAGGGTTGCAGTAGGTACATTGAGTGCTGGCGTTTTGTTTTTTGAAATTGGTGTTTGGTTTGTTGACTGTTCAAGATGGAACAGATTCAACAGATTAGAGATTTGGGTACTTCATTAGGGTATGAAGATGATGAGTTGAGAAGGTTTGTTAAAGATCAGCAGGATAGGGTCCGAGATGAAAGGGCTGCTTTAAGGCAAGAACAGAAAGACGAACGAGATAGAAAAGCAGCTATAGAAAAAGTTTTGATTGAGAAAGCTAAGGTTGAGAATGAATTGGAACTACAAAAGTTGACGTATAGTCAGAAAATGGAAGAGTTAAGTAAACAAGCTGAGTTACCACAATTAGTAAGTACAGGGGGGTCACATGATACAGTTCGTGGACCTAAAATTCCAGCTTTTGAAGAAGGTAAGGATGAGATAGATAGTTATCTTAGGAGATTTGAGCGTTATGCTACTGCTCAAAAGTGGAAACCTGATATTTGGGCCACTCATCTTAGTGCGTTATTGAAGGGCAAGGCTCTTGATGTATATGCACTTATGCCGGTTGATAAAGCTCTTGATTATCCAGCTTTGAAAGATGCTCTACTAAAAAGGTATGATATGACTGAAGAAGGATTTAAACGTAGATTTAGAAGTTGTAGACCAGAGCCAGGTGAGACTTTTATACAGTTTTCTGTTAGGTTAGATAGCTATTTTAAGCGTTGGATTGATATGGCACATACAGATACTACTTCTATAAGTTTGTATGACTTGATTATACGGGATCAGTTTCTACATATATGTTCGAAGGACTTGTCTTTGTTTTTAAAAGAGAGAATACCAGATTCTTTAGAGAAAATGGTAGCTTTAGCTGATCAGTATCGTGAGGCAAGACAAACAAGTGCTTCCAATCTTATAGATAAAGGTAATCAGTCAAACACATCTTCAGTAAGAAACCAAAGTGGTTCGAAACCAGTTGATTATAGTACAAAGAAAGAACAGAGAAGTATAAAACCAACAGAACGTACTTCATTTGTACCTAATAGGGACAGAAAGTGCTTTAGGTGTGGTAAGAATGGACATATTGCAACGGATTGTAGAGTTAATCTACAAAAGACCAACAGTGGATCGTCAGACGATAGAAAGAATTTTAAAGGTAAAGTATGTAATACCTGTACTATACCTACAGATTCTATAGTAGATGCTATTCCTACTGGTTGTACAAGTACACTTCCGTTGTCTTGTCAGTCAACCGCAAATGTAAGTATGCCTGTAAGTTCAGGTTATGTTGATGGTAAACCAGTCACGGTTTTACGAGATACTGGTTGCAGTGGTATTGTGGTTAAACGTGATATGGTTGGCAATGAGTCATTAACGGGTGGAAAACAGGTATGTATTTTGGCAGATGGAACCAGAGTTGAAGTGCCAATAGCTAGAATTGATATAGATACACCATATTTACAGGGAGAATTTGAAGGATGGTGTATGGCTAATCCTGTGTATGACTTGATAATTGGTAATGTAGAGGACGCTAGAGAACCAGGAAAGCCTGATCCTTTGTGGCAACAAACGGGAGCTGTTGAGACAAGAGAACAGGTAAGAAACAAAAGTAAGCCGTTTGTGCAACTGAAGGTAAAAGATATCATCACAGATGAGGTAAATCCAAATGTAATCAAGAAAGCTCAACTAGAAGATACAACGTTGGATAAAATAAGAAGGTATGTATTAACGGGTGATACAGTTACACGGAAGAATGGAAAAGTAAAGTGGATTTTAAAAAGAGGTATGATATACAGACAGTTTTCGTCGTCAAAACCTGATAGGGTAAGTTGTACTCAGTTAGTAGTTCCGAAGTTTCATCGCGAGACAGTGACGAGAGTAGCACATGAGTCGATTATGTCAGGTCACATGGGTACACAGCGTACACTTGATAGAGTATTATCAGCTTTTTATTGGCCAGGTGTTTCGGCGGATGTTAAGCGATTTTGTCAGTCTTGTGACATATGCCAGCGTACAGTTCCTAAAGGAAAAATAGGTAAGGTACCTTTACAGTCTATGCCGTTGATAGATGAGCCGTTTAAACGCGTAGCAGTTGATCTCATTGGACCTCTTTTTCCTAGAACAGACAGAGGTAGTAGATATATACTGACTTTGGTAGATTATGCTACACGTTATCCTGAAGCAATAGCTTTGAAGGATATTGAGACAGAGAGTGTTGCTGAGGCATTAGTAGATATATTTTCTAGAGTAGGAGTTCCACAGGAAATGTTAACTGATATGGGAAGTCAGTTTACATCTAAGCTTATGGCTGAGGTAAGTACACTCATATCGCTTAGACAGTTAACTACAACTGTTTATCATCCTATGTGTAATGGGTTAGTAGAGAGATTCAATGGAAGTCTAAAACTGATGTTGAAGAGAATGTGTCATGAACGACCTAAAGATTGGGACAGGTATGTAAATGCATTACTGTTTGCATACAGGGAAGTTCCACAGGAGAGTCTGAAGTTTTCGCCATTTGAGCTCGTGTATGGTAAACAGGTGAGGGGACCTATGGCAATATTAAAGGAGCTATGGACTAAAGAGATAGACGATCCTGAGGTAAAGTCTACATATCAGTACGTGATAGATTTAAGAGAGAGATTAGAAGCTACCTGTGAGCTTGCTCGAAGTAATTTGGCGTCTGCATCAAAGAAGAATAAGGTATATTATGATAAATCGACCAAGCAAAGACATATGAAGGTAGGTGAAAAGGTTCTTGTGCTCTTACCTACGGATAAGAATAAACTGTTGATGCAGTGGAAAGGTCCTTTTACTATTACTGAGAAATTTGGTAAGGTAGACTACAGAATACAGATGAATGGGAAGATTAAAACGTTCCATGCAAACTTATTGAAAAGGTATGTGGAAAGGTGTGACGTAGATGATGATTTAACAGTGGTAAGTTCTGCAGTGATAGATACTGATAGTGACCAAGTGGATGTTTATGATGAGATTCATGAAATACCTTTTACTGATTCAGGTGAGAATGCTAGTCATATTGATGTTAATCCAGACTTGGATGAAAATCAGATATTACAGGTAAAGGAATTGCTGTTTTCATTTCCTGAAGTCTTTACTGATTCTCCAGGATGTACCGATCTTCTGGAGCATGACATTAAATTGTCCAGTGAAACGCCTATAAGGATGAAACCGTATCCTATTCCATATAGTATGTTAGACACAGTAAATGCTGAGGTTAGTAAAATGTTAGACCTTGGAGTTATAGAAGCATCTACGAGTCCTTATGCGTCACCGATCGTCATTGTTAAGAAGAAGGACAATACAAACCGATTTTGTATTGATTTTAGGTCGTTAAATAGCCAGACTTTGTTTGACGCTGAACCGATGGGGAATGCAGAAGAGATGTTTTCTAAGTTAGCAGGATATAAGTACTTTTCACGAATCGATTTATCAAAAGGATATTGGCAGTTACCGTTATCAGAGGATGCCAAACCGAAAACCGCTTTTCAAACACCTAAAGGTTTGTTTCAGTTTCGTAGAATGCCGTTTGGACTGGTCACTGCGCCAGCTTTTTTTTGCAGATTAATGAGAATATTGTTAAAAGGTATGGAGAATATAGATAATTTCATAGATGATATAATCATCTTCACCTTGACATTTGAGCAACATTTAGAGGTACTGTATGAACTTTTGGTCAGACTTAAAGGGGCAAATCTTACAGCTAGACATAGTAAGTGTTCCATAGGTTATGGTAGTCTAGAGTGTTTGGGTCATTTTGTCGGTGATGACAAACTTAAACCTCATACAGACAAGGTTAAAGCGATAGAAGAAGCTCCACGACCAGTTACAAAGAAACAGGTAAGGTCTTTTCTTGGATTAGTTGGGTTTTACAGGAAGTTTATTCCAAACTTCTCCTGTATTGCACTTCCACTTACTGATCTGACGAAGAAAGGACAGCCTAGTACTGTTGTTTGGGAAAATGCACAGGAGAATGCATTTCACTCTTTAAGGTGTGCTTTAGTTAGGTTTCCTATATTGAAATTACCAGATTTCACTCAGATTTTTGTTCTGATGACTGATGCATCAGATAGAGGGATTGGGGCAGTACTGATGCAGTATCAAGAGAACTCCAAGATGCCTATTGCATATGCAAGTAGGAAACTTAAGAAGAGTGAAGTGGCTTATTCCACTATTGAAAAAGAGTGTTTAGCCATCGTTTGGGCTGTGCAGAAATTTCAGAGGTATTTATACGGTAGAGAATTTATACTTGAGACTGACCACCAGCCACTTACTTATCTTAATAAGAAGAAAGTAGAGAATGCTAGACTTATGAGGTGGGCATTAGCTCTACAGCCTTACAGATTTAGAATTGTAGCAGTTAAAGGTATAGATAATGTGGGTGCAGATTATCTCAGTAGAGTTTAGGATGTAAATATTACAGTGTTTTGTTTTATAATGAATAGTAAGTAGTGAAGATTTGATAGTGTTAGTTTTATTTTGTTGAACAGTCTAAATATCACAGGACTAGATTTGAAATGGTGACAAACCGTGATGTTGTGGGCAGGATATGTCGTGACATAACACTTTGAATAGGTTTAAGTTATGAGGCGACAAGACCTGATAATGATCCTTATTCATCTTTTAGGTGAGTATATGTCGATTTGTTGTAAGGGTCGGTTGGTATTTTATTTGGACCTGGTCAAGAGTCGAGTACTGTCCGGTAGTGTCGTTAGTATGATTAGTTTGTCTTTTGATTTGGACTAGTTTATTTGCATTGATGGGTTTTTGTATGTAAATCTATTTCTGTTTATATATATTTTTTATTATCAGTACTTCGTACTTCTTTTTGTGGGGAGGAACTGTCACAGGGTGACTTTGTTTACTCACATATATGTTGTTATTTTGGTTGTTAATTCTATTTCGATTTGCAGAACGTCAGTATCTTATAAATGCTATATTCTGCAGACTTCGGTGTATAATACATGTCCACATTTTACATCTAATTAATTAAGTAGTGTCCACTATTTACTTGGGCATTTACCTGTAAACTTGTCGAACGGGTTGAGTAAAAGTGATACCTGTATTTGATGAGCTGACTATTCACTCTCAGGTAACACCTTAACGAGTCAAGGTGTGGTCAGAAATGTTTGTATAAAGTTAGTTTACAATGTGGCGTGGACACACACACACTGGATTTCTGAGGTAGGATTCAATTTATTCTTATTTATTTAATCATTATTCGTTCTAAAGTGTTCAGTTTTCTGCAACAACGCAAATATAGAATAATTATTTCAATTGTAATTGTAATTTTTGACATTGCTATTTTATAAATGTAATAAGTTAATTAATGTTCATTATAATGAAAGTTTAACACGGTTATATGTTTCCGGCTGTAGTAAATATTCGAGTATCGAAATTGTTTGGTATTTTAGGAACGTTTGCGTACGATAATGCAATGATGTATGTATCTCCATAAGTATGTAAAGTAATATGCAACGTATAAGCATAAATGTATATTCAGCGTTAAAAGCTGTATATTGTGTGTAGTAATTGTATAATGATAGTATACAATAAAGTCAATTATGTGACTTGTAAAGTAAGGCATTGTACGATATGCCGTAGTTTGTATTGTGTAAAGTAAGGCATTATACGATATGCCGTAATTATTTGTGTATAAGTAATGCATTATTCAATATGCTATAATCTTCTATAGATTGAACATAAGTAGTCGTACTAAGTATTTGTCATTATTAATGCGACATGTGTAATACATAAACATATGTATATTTCTTAAGTATAGTATTGTATCTTAACGTTAGGTGTATGTAGTTTTGTATTGTAAAGTATGGAGATATAGTACAGATGGTGGTGAAACCTGTTGACAGTGCGGCGTTCCGTGTTTATCATCAATAGTTTGGCAACATAGAATATTTGGAGTCGAGTCTAGACAATAGGGCAGCCGTAATGTGTACACCGCTTATGTTGGGCCAGTTTTGTGTAGTTACCGAAAACCAAATACGTAAAATTCCGTAGTATCGTTTATCCAGATTTCATAGTTTAATATAAAGAAGAAGGAACAGTTCATTAAACATTTGACAGTATTATTTCATTTGATTTCATCTATTTATATTTGTAAATTTGTACCTAATTAAATTGTTATTTTGTTTAAAGTAGTAGTCATTTATTATCTGTAAGTACAAACTCCTAAGTCAGCTCTCGTCTATCCGTGACAGTGTTGTTTTTTTTTTTGTCTGTTACCTGTGTGGAAAGTGATCAAAATATAGCAGAATGCTATAGAAATGAATATGATTGCCGTGATGATAATGTTACTTTCTATAGTGGGGAAATAGATTCTTCTATTAACAAAGTGCTAATTAGTCATGTGATGAAAAAGAAACAGATACAAGATATCGTAGTTAAAGCCAGTTGCATATTTGAGCTTACAATGTCAGATAAAGACCTGAATGACACTTTCGGACAGAAGATAATAGTGGTGAACAGGGACGAATGCTCATCGTATGTAAGTACTTTGTGTTTGATATAAATTTTAGCGATGTGAAAATATTTGTCAATTTTGAGCACATGATATAATTTGCATAACATATAAGAAGTAAATCATGTGACCATATAAAGAAATTATGTAGTCTCTAAAGGGTGTTTGAAAAAAATTAATAATAATTATTGATTTGGGTTGTTAAGATATATTTCTTTAATTCTGTGCTATAAAAAAATCCTTATTGCTTTTTAGGGTATTTAAAATTATCTTTATTGATTTTATTAATCCTCTACTATTAAAAATCCTTATTGATTTTGGTTGCTAAGATATATTTTTCTAATCTTGTGCTATAGAAAATATTTTTCAACCCTTTTTTTCTCTATAGAGGAATGCTAAAAGCAGTAAGGAAAGTATCACGAAACGGTTATTCATACATAACAGTATATTTTCATACAATACAGTTATATACTATTTTTATACACACTGATTCTTCCAATGTTCAACATTTGTAATTCTATCTTCCAGAGAGGAACGTTCGTATCCGTCATTTGAACCCGCTACGAAACGAAGTTGTTCCTATGCGACGATAGCATCATTCAAATTGGCCAGTACGAATATGGAGATTGGGTAATATAACAATATGTGTGTTGTTTTCCTATGAAGACCATGATGAATTTATCGAAGATTTGTTTTTCTGCAGTCATGATTTTAACGCAGTTTTAGCGGAATACTTGGACATCAACACACTGCTTGAAAATGAAGAATATATGATGAAGATATATACAATTTGTGTAAGGCTCTTTTAGAGCCACCCAATTAATTTAAAAAAAGAATCTTGTTTTGTTAGAATTATTGTTGTTTTGTTAATTTTTTCTTTCATTTTAATTAAAATTATTGGTTTTTTTTAGTACAAGGTTTTACGTTCATACTAGTTGATCATTTACCGATATATATGTATGTAATATTTGTCAATGTACGTTTAAAGCGGAAAATCACGTATCATTTACCTATCATAAAAAGATATGTTCTACTAGTGTATGTAATATTTGTCACTGTACATTTAACACACACCATTTACTGATGAATATGTATGAACTATATGTTACATTTGTCATTGTACGTTTAAGTCACGTGAAGACGAAACTGGATACTAGTTAATCATTTATCAATGAATATGTATGTGGTGTTTTTATATCAATAAAAATTGAGTATTAATACACAGTATAGTGAAATGCAATTCATCCTTGTGATTGCATTGCCTCTATCAACAACATATCAAGTTACTTCATATCAGGATACGGTCATTTATGGCAATGAGTTTATCCTTAGCTTGGTATGTCATTGTAAACTTTTAACCAATGAGAAGATTGGGTTTTTTTAGTTGCTGTTGTTGAAATCTCGTTCCCTAATTGTGTAGTGAGATTTAGTTAGAGAACCAATCAAAATAGGGCGCACATTTCAAAATATCCAATCAGATAGTTATTTAAATACTATTGGTTCGTTGTTCTAACAATTGCGCGTCTTCATAGGCATTCAAGCTAATACAGTTGCATGAAGCAGAAGCATTTTATCTTTGCAGTTGAAAATTTTTAAATTACGAATTATATACGTAAAATTTCGTTTATGGATAGATCGTTTTTACCATGGATAGTGAAAAACTTGTAAGAACATTTTTACGTATCCCACAATGGTAACTCCAGAAGTGGAAACAATTAAAACGTACATCGTGGAATCGTCTACAGATCGTGCTCACGTTTACTGGAGCATTACTTTAGACTGTGGAGCGTGTTGTAATGGATGCTATTTTTGTGGTTTTACAAAGAATGTGTGTAGTGGAAGCGTCAAGGCAGAAAGGTCCGATTAGTCGGGATTTAATGTGATCTTTAGATCTATATTTGGAACAATACCACGTTTGCTTAAATTCATTTAAAGACTTGCGAAAATGGCGGAAAACGGCGACAGCGACTGTGAAGTGGAGATCTTTGATGACAGTGATCTGATTAAGTTGTGGGCAGCAACTTCTAGTATGAAGTTAAACGAAAACAGCCCATCAAAGTTATTGAGACATAGATTTGACACTATGGGGGCAATTTCGATGATTGAGTTAGAAGATATGCTAACTTTCAACATCCCGTTAGGCCAGCAACAAGTTTTGCTTAAAGCGTTGGAGAAAACTTCAAGACCGGATGAGACGAAAATGGGGAAAGTATTTCTAATGGGGCGTCAATGCGCAACACAAGTGAGATCGGAGGCGGAGTCACCACAAGAGAGATTGGAGGCGGGGTTTACAATAAAGATTGCGACTGTAGTACTTCCGTAAATATCCAAGATGGCGGCAGAAGCATTTCCGTAAATAATCAAGATGGCGGCGTCCATACGATAGACATTCCTAGAGCGGACGAAACATATATCCAGGAAATTATGAAAATGATGGCAGTGCAAAAGGACAATAATGGACATTCAATCAATGATGTTAATGCTTAATCCTCTCAAGGTAGAGACAATAATTTGTTTATTAATGACATTTTTTCATGGAAAGATCTGCAAATATTTTTAAAACTTAAAACATACAAAATAATAAAACTGCGCCCTGGTTTTATTATAGCTACTATTAATGATGTGAACACTACCAGCATATTGTCATTAGATGATAATCAATCAGAAAATAAATCAAAAACTTCATCTTTGAATTCAGTACAGCAAACATCTTCCACACAATCTGAACTTCAATTTGATTTTTCAAAAAGTGATTTAACTGATCACCAAAAAAACAAAAATTAACTAAATTCTTAAATGAAAATAGAGATGTTTTTGCAACCAGCCTAAAAGAACTCAGAAAAACGAATGTTTATTATCAAAAAAAATTGATACAGGAAATTCTAAGCCAATTAAATCTCGGCCTTATCGAACATCACCAGTAGCTAAACAA